ATATATGGCTGTATGACAGTATATAGCACTATGTCACCAAACTCAATAAAGTGCCGAAATATGTATTTAGTCATCTAGCAAGAGTGTTTCTAGCATTGCGTGCATGGTGATGTGGTGGTATGACGAGTGAACGATATACTTTGTATTAGAACACAATTAGGCAAAAAGTACATAATTTTCCATTACTACTTAGTACTTTGGTCTCAAACAAGGGAGGGTAATAACTCGCAAAAAATTTACACCGAAAAAATTGTAGTTATTCTATCTATATCAATGTACCCATGAACAATATCCGCAATGTACGAAAATCAAAGTTTCCCCAAATTTGTAAGTGTTATATAGAGTAAAGGTAAAATACAAGCTTGACCAAACAATATCTTAAAGTTTTAATTGGTTCTTATGTAGTTTTGTAAACAGTTACGACTCAAGAGATTGAACCATGGAGGTTTGAAGTTCGTAAATATGTGCTAAATTATAAATATTTTTCTATTTTCATTAAACACAATTGAACTTGGTACAGTAGTATGTATTTATATACGTATTTATGTATGTATGTAGTATGTATGTCAATGCGCCATGAGCGTCTGCGACGGATACCGGTACCGGCACATTATAAATGTCCGTTTATTATTATTATTATTAATTATTATTATTATTATTATTATTATTATTATTATTATTATTATTATTATTATTATAATTTTTATAATAATAATAATAATAATAATAATTTATTATTATTATTATTATTATTATTATTACTACTACTTCAATCATGAAATAAATTATTAAATCATTGTGTAACTTTTAAAATAAAATCGGTATTATAAGCTGGAAATATTTGTATTATTTTCCCTCTACTGACATCATTATATACCAAATGTAAACCTTTTCCTAACTAAAATAAAATTACAGTATTTACATTTTTGATAGGATGATTTCAAGATGGCTACCAGTTCGGAGTTGAATCAGTTTCTGGAATATGTTGATGAGAAGGTGCTAGAGTGTACCATATGCTTTAAGAGACTTCAAAATCCCAAATCCCTCAACTGCCTTCATAGTTTCTGTTTGACGTGTCTGGAAGACTGGGTTAAGACAAAGGGTAAGCTGACATGTCCAACTTGCTCAAAGTCACATGCCATTCCAGAGGGTGGACTTCAGAAGCTTCCACCAAATACTTTTCTGAATAACTTATTTGAAGCTATTGAACAAATTGCCAAAAGAGATCAGAAAAATTGTGTTTGTGGAAAAAAACAAGCAACATATTACTGCCAGGAATGCAGACATTACTTATGCAAAACTTGTAGTGATTGTCACAAAGTATTTCCTGCATTGGCAAATCATAAGCTCCGTACTGTAGAGGATGTAGGATCAATGACTGCACAAGACTTTGCATTGTTACATCCTCCGCTATGTTCTCTTCACAATAAGTCTCTGGAGTTTTACTGCACAGATTGTGCAACTCCAATCTGCATAAATTGTACTCTTACGGAGCACAAGGTGTGGGAAGGAAAACACAAAGCAATCAGCATCTCCGAAGCATTCCAGACTTTTAAAGAAACTTCGGCAAAATTGGAAGAAGCTGCGCAACATTACACAAACAAATTAGAAGATGGTCTCCAATCTGTTAGCCACAATGCCACAACTTTTGAACAAAGTAAAAATACGTGTTTGAGAGATATTGACAATCATGTGCAAACACTTATAAAGACCATCAAGGAGAATGGAGACAAGATGAAGAATGAAGTAGAGGAAATGTATGAAGTATATACAGCGACATCTGATGCACATATGGATGAATTGAGAACAATCTTATCTGATATAAATACAAAATTGAGTTTTCTTAACCAGTTGCTGAAGAGTAATGACGCAACAGCAATGCAGTCAAGTGAAACAGTAATTACAGCACTGAAGGACAGAATCAATGAATTGCCAAAAACAAAGCCAAGTGATAGTGCACAAATAAACTTCTCTATAAACGTACAGCAAATTTCCTCACTATTAGAACATGATATTGGGATTGTAAAACAATCAAAGTTAGTGAAAGAGAAATCGGACACGGACACTGAAGATGAGCAATTGCAACAGCATAGTTCTTTCGAAGTTGCTGTTAGCAAATCATTCAGAGTTAAATCAGACAGTAACAGCGAGGTAGAGAATGAACAGTTTACTACTGAAGTTTCAGAAACTGTATGTGATGCAGTTGGAGTTGAGACTGAGAGTGAAAGTAGATCATACAGTTACAGAGAGGTGAAGGCACAGCCTAATGAATTTGAAGAGTTAGCATGTAATGCAGTTGAAGGTGAGACTGAGAGTGGTGTTATCAAACCATTCTGGGTTAGACCATACAGTAGCTCATACAGTAACATCAAGGGTGAGAGTGAACAGTTTGAAATTACTACTAAAGTTTCAGAATCTGTATGTGATGCAGTTGGAGTTGAAAATAGTGACAGTAGATCATACAGTTACAGAGAGGTGAAGGCACAGCCTAATGAAGTTGAAGAGTTAGCATGTGCAGTTGAAGGTGAGACTGAGAGTGGTGTTATCAAACCATTCTGGGTTAGACCATACAGTAGCTCATACAGTAACATCAAGGGTGAGAGTGAACAGTTTGAAATTACTACTGAAGTTTCAGAATCTGTGTGTGATGCAGTTGGAGTTCAGAATAGTGACAGTAGATCATACAGTTACAGAGAGGTGAAGGCACAGAATGAAGTTGAAAAGTCTCTATGTTATGAAGTTGACGAGTCTCTATTTTATGCAGTTGAAGGTGAGACTGAGAGTGGTGTTAGCAAACCATTCTCAGTTAGACACAGTAGATTATACAGTAACAGCAACGTAGCGAATAAAGCGTCTACTGTTGAAGTTGCAAAGTCTGTATGTGATGCAGTTGAGAGTGTTAGCAAATCCTTCAGGGATAGGCCTAAAAAAGAGTGTAGCCCTGGACGTTCTGGAATACATTATCAGAATTACTCAAGGGCAGACCAAAAACAAGCGCAGACGCTTGGTTATAGAAACCAAAAGGGAAAAAAGATTTTAAAAAAATAACTTGTAGTCTGCTTCGAGCTGAGATTTATACAGGTTGTTGTGCAAATGTAAATGTTTGAGACTCAGTGAGAATCAATTGACTCCTAACACAATGATGTCATTTAAATGACAAACTACAGTAACAACCCTGTGTATCACAAGTATAATGAAGATTTTCAGTGGGGTCCTTCTGGTGGTGATTGGGCAGTACACCAGGATACAATCCCTTACTCTTTTCCGAAGAGTGTACTGCATTCTTAAACATGGGCCATCCACGGGACCAATGGCTTATATAAAAGGTGCACTATTGTAACTTGTATTTTAGCCCTCTAGCTGAAACACAAGGAGAGGTGGCGATGGGAATTGAACCGGGGAACTAGAGATCTCCACGGTTCAGCGCACAAACAACGGCTACCACCAGATTAGTCAACTGAGCTAAGCAGCTCTCTATGTATATACATACTGTATTGTCTTCTGTTAAATTTTGTTTTTCATTCTTGTAATTACAGTAGTCAGTGGCAGTCTGGCAGATCTAGGATTTAGCAATGGGGGTGGATCTGTCTCTTATACACATCTAGATGTGTATAGGTGGGGGGGGGGGAGGGGTGGTTTTGGGAGGGGAATCCCCTCCTATTTGAGATTTTTTTGGAATTAGTAGACTGCTAGACGATCTTAGGTGGCATCTGAAAAGAAGTAAGCTTAAAATAGAAAGTGTATGTTTTACCAGAAGCAAATTATAAGGAATTTTATTCAAGCACTGTTTCTACCATTATTTGGGAAATAATGGTATGTATGTAAACATAATAATGTATACATTGTATATATGGTTTTGAACAGAATTGGTATTTAAAAATGTACTTTGGAGATATTTGTAGAGCTTTAGTGTTTATTATTAACCTGTCAAGAAAAACTTTGTGTTACTTAAGGTACAAAAGGTGCAAGTTTTTCTAGTTATAGAAAAGAAGAATATTGACTTGCATGGTGTTTGATGAAAAATCTTTGTGTTGTACTGTATGTGTCAACTTGCGTATAATCATGTCTTTTGATACTTACATTTAATTTATATAAGATAAGATAATCTATGCCACATTCCGAACAAGTGAACTATGAAAATACAATCTTGATGAAGCTTGTTATCAAAATTTTGATTTATCTATCTACCGTATAATTAAAAATAGCAAATTATTTATTATCACATAAAGAACGTTGGAAAGTGTTAAGTACTTGTTATATTTTCCTCAGCAAATTTTCAGTGAGGGCATCTTTGGGTGCAAGATTTCCGTAGCAGCTTGCAAACTTCCCCCTCCCACACATGAAGAATGAAAAAAGTGATGCCACCAATGAACGATTAAATTGTCGAGAGGAAACCAGTGTTGATAATTATGATGATAGAAACAATAAATAGATGACAAATAAATTTGTGGTATGGCACACACTGAGTGCAATAAAATAATTATATTTATAGAAATTCACTGAATACTCCAAATTAGAGACTTAGATCCAGGCTAACTGTACAGTATATAGTAGTATTGATTCACAGGTACTGTATACAGCACATGTACTGTTAAGAACTTAAAATTAATTTCTGTACAATAATGTTGCAATTATCCAGCTAATATTTGTTATTAATCGCACATCAGTAAATTTTTAACTGTTTTGATCTCATCTACTGTAAAGCACTGTCCAATTTCTCTTGCAGTTGTGGTAAGCAGTACAATATTTCCTCAATGCTGATTGGAGTTTAAGACCATGTAACTTTAATCCAATAAACAGTCATAAAAGTCAAGTGGTCAATTGTTTCCTTTCATTGCCCGGTAGTGAATCTTTGGACTCCATTGATATCACCTTAAAAGACTGAAAATACTCAACAATGTTCTGAGTATCAATCGGATTCAGTGAGTATTCCTGAGCTAATCTTTCGACTGGCCACTCGTTTCTGTTTCTCTGGTGCTTTGCGAGTAACTCCAGTGCCTGCTGTACCGTTAACCGTCCTTTGGGTACGTGTTCAATGTTTTCCCACAGCTCGGTTTGCTCGGGTTTTTGCTGTCGATCAGTTGGCATCAGCCTTGAACCAATCTCCTTTGACTTTTCAAACTACAATAAACCAATATTAAACACATAATTAATTTCAATAATCAGCTTATATTTTATGGGAGCCCTATCTGTGTTTACAAATACAATTTTGTATTTTTTTTCTCGGTCCGCAACAAAACTGCTATGATGCCGCATGTGGCCCATGGTCGCACTCTGCTCACCCTTGCAATATATAGTAACTTGAAATTACTCCCATTGGGGGCTTGTCAATGGGATGGGAAGCCTCAAATATTGAAAAATAATAAGTGCAAGCTTATGGTAACAGAAAATTTAAATTACTGTAACCACATTAAAAAAAAAACAACTTTTCATTCTAATTTATAGATTTGCAACAAAAAAATTGAGAGGATCTCGTTTTAAAAATTCAATAAATTATTGAAAACAAAAAATTGATATTTATTCAATACATACCTCTGGGTCATAGCCAGACGAATCAACGTTTATTCCCTGCAGCATGTTCAACAAATTTACATCTTTCTTTTGAAGAGTTTCTATTGGAGGTAACTTGGAATCTACATAAGAAACAAAATAATACTGCTTGTGGTAAAATATGGTAAACCCTAGTTTATTCACGTAAACAGATCACACTGGTAATTAGGCCTGTGTGTGTACCACACTGGAGTATCATTAAGCCGGTCTCACAAATTATGATTTAGAAGGGGCTTGGCGCAGCGGGAATGATTTGGTTTCCCAACCTCGAGGTTGGGAGTTTCAATCCATCGCTGTGCACTTCACTTGTGTTTATGAGCAAGGCACTTTATCTGCAGGTAAGAAATTTTGTGATTATGGTAGCTCTAGATGGCAGGAAATAGCACTCTTAGACTCAAAATTTGAGTAGAATTTTCCTTTTTTTCTCAATTTTTTTTTTTTTATTTTGAAAAGTTTGGGGGGAGGGGGAGGGAGCCTCGGGCCGGCTTGGCCACCCCCTCTTAAATCCGCCTATGATTACATTACCTCACACCTTCCCCAACTCCCACACACCAGACTATTTTAGATTGAGCATGTTATAAGATTAAATATGTCATAAGAAAAAAAAATTGGAACATGCGAGACTGACTTTAGACAAGCAGGCTAAACTAACCTTTCTGTGTGTCACGGCTCCCAGGGTGCTTTGGGGCAGCTTTTGGTTTTCGATCCAATACCCGATGCGCTCGGTTCTCAACATTATAATTTTGAACACCTCTTCGCAATATGTTCCCCATGCTTTACTTAAAGCAAGGCTTAGTTCGCTCTTGAATTCAAATTCTGCAATGAAAATAAGATAATAAATTAAGGCTTTGGTATTATATAACAAAACAGTTTGAAAATTTTCAGCTAAGTTTAAACACAATTTTGTAAAATTTTTGACCGCACACTACGATATTTCTTAGCACACTGACTGGAATGTGGCTTGAAAGCTACACCGATTCAGGGCATGTGATCATACAGAAACGAGACTCTATGATTGGATTGTTTGCAGGTTTTTGGTAGCTTGTGTTGACCACTATCTCTCTTCAGTGTTGGTTTGTTCACCCCAAGTCACATGTTCGCCATACAGTATTGTAAAGTTCATTTTCTGAAATGCACGGACGGATTTCTAGGCCAAATTTTTGCGTGGAGGATACATTCTCCCTGCAGACCTTACTTTTTACAGTAGTGTGGCCCCTGCCCTGACTGTGTGTGAGAGTGTTGTTGGACCCCCTTGTCGGCAATTTCTGAAGTCTAGATTGCGGGGACACCCATTTTTTTAATATATCACTCAGGCAAATACCAAACAAAGTCCAACGTTAACTTTCGACAAGTTTTTACTGGACTTCTAGGCTGGGGCCTAGGCCTATAGCCTAAGTACTATGCAGGTTATGCGGCCCTACAGAAACTAGCCTAGGCCTAGGCCTAAGTCGAAATGTACTAGGCCTAGCCCATCCTCCTAGCCTATGCCTAGCTTGGCCTAGGTAGGTAGGCTAGGCCTACATTCTTACTAGGCCTAGCTTTAGAGTCTGGGTGTCTAATCTGTGTAATTTAACCCCAAAATAGGCTTAGACTGTAAGTAATCCAACTAAAAAAGGTCGAGGCCCAGGCTGATAGCTACAGTGGTGACCCTCGTTATAAACCATTCCTACTCGGACGGTGCCGGCCGTGAGCGAACCCCTTCTCGATGTTTTTATACCGGGCGAGGCTACGCAGCACCAAAAACATTGAGGGCGCCAGACTGATATAATGCGTTATCAGCTCATTTTTCCAACAATCATCATCTTTATTGTCATTTGTTTTCATTAGTCATCATCTTTGTTTGTCATTTGAGGCTGAATGAAATTTGCTACCATTTTAGCCTCTACCTTTCTTAGAAAACGATCATAAAGGTGATCTTGAAAGATTGACCTAAGTAAGAACTGAAATCTGGTTAGATTCATTTAGAGGAAGTTTGGAATGCTCGAGTGTATTTTATTTTAATCTTTTTAAAATTTACTATGATAAATGTTCTTGTTATTTTTATGTAATTTTTAGAATGTTTTATGTGTACTGGACCCTCTGAAAGAACAGTACTAAAGACGCACGATGCGTTTTTTAGGATGACTTTATTGAAGGCGTGCTTGACGTTCTCAAAGGGCGCCTTCTAACAGCACAAAAATATAGAAAATTGTAAACGCTTTCAATAACCAGCCTATAAATTAACATTATTATCAACACTATTGAAGTCCTTAGGAGGTCAGCTTTACCCACCAGAACTAAAACGGATGTATCCAAGACGTGTGAGGTTCTTTATTTTAGCCCATCACATATTTAACGTAAGAATGATTTGCCACTTCATTACATTAGATTATCCTTGGGGATAATGCATAGAAACTTTGATTCTTCAAAATGATTAGAAATCAAATTTCACTTAAACTGCAATTTCGTAAACAAAGTTGAAATTCAACAATGTAAATATATGTAAAAAAAGTACAATAATTCACTAGTATAAAACAATCACAAGTATAACATGTAACTGTAAAAAAGTACTAGGCCTATTTAAATAAACTTAGTAACATGAAATTATTATTAACATACATTACAGAAACAAAGAAATAATAGATAAAATTATAATTATAAAAGAAAGTGCCGTATTCAGTCCTCTCGCCAGGAATTATTTCAGAAAATGTTGTCCACAAAATTTAAAGGGTGGTGCGCGAACCTTTAAAGGGTGGACACATTTCACTCGATACCTCTAATAAAATTTATTACTGCAAACAATACTGTATATGCACTTAAATTATGAAGAAACGGAAACTACTCATGAGAACTAGTACCTACAAGATGGAATCTTAAATATGCAAAAATACGTAGGCCTACACTAAGTGTTGATGGGGCTAAAATTTGAACATTTTCAATCGTGGTATAATTTCTTCTATAACGCTCAATATACAGTAGGGCCTACCGTTAGTTGTCAATAAAACTTTCACTAAAGAAGCAAATATTTAGCATTTAACCATTCTTTTCTTTTCTTTCTTTCATGTAAGAGGCCTAAATGTTGTTTTATCAATCACAGTTCATTAAAAAAAAAATGGACACTTTATACTAAGCATTGCGATCGGCACGCATGTACGGTACTGAACGCGCCCTATCATGATTCTACTCAAGCCGACTATGGACCTCAATGAGTTCACACGAGTTTCCCGCATGATTAAAAATCGTTAAGGTACTGGCTTTGGTCTTGCTCCCAAGATTAAAAATGTTATTCTTGTTCATGAATATATAAGGATTCTGTTTATAATAATATACTTAAATGAAAGTATATAAGTAAATATAATGTTACAATTATGTTATTGTTTATTAAAGACTACAAAAAAGACAGGAAAAGGAAGAAAAGCAAAAAGGTAAGGAGCGGCTTAGAATTGTAGCGAAAATTATATAATAATGATAATGGCTCATTACATTTTACGGGTTTGTAGTCAATTTTGGACACTATTTATCAGAGGTCAAGGTGTCAAGCCTACATATTATTTACTTATTGTAACCAGCTGCCTGGTCGGTCAACATATGCAGAGGGCTCCGACTGTTTTTGAACCAGGGCCCATTGGAACCTAGTTTTCCACTGAACAGTACATGTATGAGCCTTCAAGTTTTGTAACAATCTTTGCAATGCTGAGTTGTAGTAGGATGGACCCATTGATATAGTATTTTTCGAGTTAAAACCAAGACTGTTTTATATTTTGCAAGGATGTCTTCATAACGAGACAATCATGGAGTCCGAGTCAGGGCATTATAATCATGAATCTCTACATGCAGGATAGCGCTAGGTAGTAAAACGAATGGCTGACGTTAAAATAGTATCTTAATGTCAACAATACCAACATCTGCTAGTTTACATAATTTTACGTTGAAATATTTCTCAAAAGATGATGCGAATTATCCTGTGAATTCAGGGAACGCTTTACACCTTTATTTTGCCCACTATCTAAATTTCAGTTGTAGTAAGCGGTGCACGGTTATTGAACACTTTTGAATCAGGTATCGATATTGTTGGCCTATGTTTAATGGAACTTACTATCACAAGGCTCTGGGTTAAATCCTGTAATGTTAATGGAGTGTTCTGTACTTGGTGGTTTTTATGATGTTTGGTCCGAACTCAGTGGTTCAAATCATGTTCAAATCCTCAAAATAAGAATTTTCCCTCGAATTACTAAAACACCTAGCTTCATCATAAATAGACTTATATAGGCCTAAATGTATAAACCTCCATTCCATCCTATAAAAATATGCTCAAACCCTAATTGACGCAGGAGCAGTTCAATCTTTTTTCTTTGTGTTAGGTAACTTCACCATTTGATTTTCTTAATTGTTCTTTTATCTATAATATTGGTGGATAAGTTCTAAAAAATCTTGTTTCTAGCACATGTAGGCCTAGTATAAACAGGAAATCACCATAATTAAATCTATGTATTCTAAGTTGTTTGTTTACAACAAGAAGAGCTCAAAAAATAAATAAATGAACAATTCAAAATGGAAAGCAGGGGAAAGGTCTATAACACTAAGCAAGAGGGTTGTCCATAATGACCCTTACATTACGTGTACAAAACAGACAAGCCCCAGCGAGCGAGCATTTATCTAGGCCTAAGTAATTATTTGCGTAGTTTCATAAAAAAAAATATATATATTTATGGGCATTTTAATCCGTCCCGGCATATTCTTCTGAGGTTGTCTCCTGTTGTGTGTCTGCAGTTGTAAGTTGAGGGTATGATCATAAACGTACTGTAATGTCATAAATTCCCGTTATTGTTCACCACTCGCTCTCTGAAGGTCGTCTTAATTACCGTATGCACATTCTTACACTAATACAATCACAATGCATAATCGCTGATTAGAATGTGAGCTTTATTTTACTAAATCGATTTTTATGAATCGTATATGAAATCAATATGTTTCGACAAGTTTTTACCAAACGCTTTTGTTACATACGCCGTTTGGTCATATATTAGGCCTTAATTTTAGCTAAATTAATCGCGTACGCTACTGTTTGACGCTAGTTCAGTTTCATATTTCATCGTGGAAGTCGAAATATAGAATTTTTATTTTATAAAGAAGTTTGCTATAATGTAGTGACACAACTGAATAGGTCTGTTGGCTAAGGTAACGAAAAGGAGTTTGATATACAGATTACAACATTGAAGTGTAGGCTAATAACCGGATTAATAGTTCCATCAGACGAACTGATTCACACTATTATTTACAACAATGTCGAAAAAAAAGTTTGATCACGAACCTGTTTCCGTTTCACTTTCACAGAATGGAAATGAAGAATACAACCTGACAACTTTTAATGGAGGTATAGCAGGAGGCAAATCTAGTGAAGAATGTTTTATACAGGCATTAGATCGGATTAAACTTAACACCGATTTAATCTTTTTGCAGGAATTGCCAAATAGTAAGAATTGTTTAACGTCGGTAAATGAGGAATATTTTGCTCAAAGAGATCAAGACACAGCAATACTAGCGAAAAGGTCGAGGTTTTCAGTGTTTATGTCTAATTTCGAAAAAAAGAAAGGAAAGGATTTTGAAAACGCAAAATACATTTTAAATGAAGAAATACGTAACCGTCAGAGTACCGTATATATGACAGATAAGAAAGGACATGGCTTAGTAGCAATTTCATGGCATGGCAGATATAAGATAAACAAAACAGACAAGAAAGTCGATTTTTTTCGTCTTCTGTTATATGCTAAAGAAATAAGGGAAATCTTTACAGCTGCAGTAATCATTGGTGGTGATTTCAACTTCAGCGCGAAAACAGCATTGGCAATTATAAATGAAAAAGACCATTTTAGTTTACATGCTGCAGATGCAGAAAAACGGGAACGTGTTGTAGATTATTTTATATTTTTGCCTTTAGTGGTGTCACTATCAAAAGCAGTAGCAATTGATATTAATACAAAACTTCTGACAAACTTTTATACCATGAACGTAAACAGTCCAAACACTTCAGGTATGTAAACATAGTGCTGCCGGGTTATAGACATCGCCAAAATAGCAGGCCCTGGGGGAGGGATGCAAAGGACGCAACTCCAAATTCCAAAAGGCCCATTTTTTTTAAAAAGCTATTTGTTGGAAAGTGATCAGCTCTGGTGATTACAGATTGCTCTATATGATCATTGTTATCTGTACTCTTTCAGGCCCCTAAAAACACCCAAATTAATGAAAATTTAAATAGAATATTCACGAATTATTGGTTTTCATAACTCCATTTTATAAGGCCCTCAAAATGCTATTGTCATAGCTTCCAGGGTATTTCTCCCCTCCCCCAAACCAAGGCCCCTGCCTTTATTTGCCAGCTCTTCTAGCAGTTGATGTTTGATAACTCTGTTGGAAATTTAGCAATGTTAGCTCCAGGAATTGCAGATTGATCCATTCTGAACAATTCAATGTTACCGTATATGTAAAGGCTTACAGATATAAAGGACATAAAACGCTACAACTTTAGGTCCCTAACAACACTCAAA